GTCCCAGCTGAGAGGACTATTCTGTGTGGGGCTGCTGGAGCGGGCCGTCGGGGTCCCGCATCCACGAGCATGGACCCCCCGTTCCCCACCTGGCAGCCGCGGCCGGGTCTGCTCCCACCTTCAGGCATGCCAGCACAGCTATTCCTTCGTCCTGTTCTACTCCCACTTGCTTTTCTAGTTCTCCCTTTCATAGCTAGTTGTACTGTTACACCCTGACGCTGACCAAGCCCTGTCCACGGAGTAAACGGGACCTCTCCATGCAAAAAAGATCCTAAATTGTCACTAGGCTCCCTCAAGTATCTGCATCACTGCATTCATCCTTTGCCCCCCCCCCCAGGGGTCCCCTGGCTTCTCCAAGGCCTGGCTTTCTTCACCAGAGACCTCCTCCTCCTCTTCTGACCATGTGACAGCTCCCCTAGACCTTCGATGTAATTTATACCTTGCCAGGGACCAACTCTTTCCCACCACTGTGAAGGAGAGGGAAAATATATATATAAATACGTCGGAAATCTATAACGAGCTCTTCTTGGAGGGCAAGACATGGGGAGAGTTAGAAGCAGCGTCAATTGCTCTTTGGGGGTTTTAGTTCAAGCCAAGGTCTGCTTCCAGCAATCAACCATTAAAACAAGCCGGCCAGAGTAACAGCACAGTTTATTCTGATCATTTAATTTGAAGTGTCAATAAATTAAACTTCAATCAATTAAACTAGGTGTGCAATAACCCAGATGGACACCCCGACACCAACATAATCACAATAAAAATTTTTATGGCTGCCAGGGACCTCACCGGGGGCAGCGCTGGCACAGCTCACGCCCTGGCTGAGAAATATATCTCCACAGTGCAGGAGTGAGGAGATTGCTTCTCCTAACGAAATGGAGGGGCCAGGCACCAGCAAGGACGCAGCTGGGAGAGGGACAGAGGGGACTGCCCAACGAGCTGGGAGTGCTTTGGGGGCTTAATGTAATTGATACCTTTGCCCAGAGCAGGGGGAGGGGGCGGTCAGGCCGGCACCTCTCCCGTTAGTGCCAGAGGAATTTAACAAAAGCCCCATTAAGATGATTCAGGAAGCAAAGGCGCAGAGCAACGTCAGCCCTTAAGAGTCACTGATGTATTCTGCGTAGTTGCCTCGGCCACACGCGCCAGCACTCCTGTGCACTCCAAGTCCTGGTTTTTGAACGAGGCCGAGTTCAAGATCTGGTCATTGCATTCGGATAAAAAAAAGTTATTAGGAGAAGAGAAAAGACAGAATTAAGAGGTCTAGTGCATAAAGCCTGGGGAGAGTACTCAGAAAATGAATCTGGACGAATTAGGAAAAATGAAATCTGGGAGGAGAGATTTAAGGATCTTGCCTGCTGGAGTAATTCAGCTTGGAGGAAAAGGGTGGAGAAGGAAGGGCCAGGTCATTATCTCTAAGCCTCCACCGGTTATTGATGGAAAATGGTGACCTACAGAGACCCACTGCGTTCAAAACCAAGAAAGGGAGAGCCAGCAGGAAAAGCAGGAGGGAGGAAACAGTTCAAAGATGCAGGCTGGAAGCATCATTCCCCAACACTAGGAATGAAGAAGCATCTCTTTTTCTGGCCCTCCCTGATGTTGCAACAGGTTAACAGCACAGCACCCTGAAGCTGTCTGCAGCACGAGTTCGATCCCCAGCCAGGGAGGGACCCCCAGGCCCAGCAGACCTCTCCTGACCGCCTGCTGCCCCCTCAGCAGTGTACTTTGTTGCTCTCCCTGTTCTGCTCCTCACTCTGTCTCTGGGGAATCCTCTCACCCCCTGCACCTCTGGCCTGTAGCCCAGTTCTTCTATGCATACATAAAAAATAATTTTTTATTTTTCAAAAAAAAAGAAACATCTCTTTTTCTAGACACTATATGAAAATATGGAAAAAAAAAAAAAGACAAATCTACTTGAAAGCCTAGGCTGGGTTACTTAAGCCAAGAAAGAAAGGCAACCCACTGTACAGTGCCTACGCAAAGGGAACTCACTGGCCCTTAGACATGCCCATAGTCAGATCACAGTTCAGGGATGTTCCTGCCCCCTCTAGCTGACCATCCCCTCTCCACAGCCTGTGGTGATGTGCCCTGCAGAGGTAAGGATAAGGGTGCTTTGACCAAATTCCCCCAGAGTTCCAGCCAATCCAGGAAATGGAACGTGAAAAGAAGGAAATGAAAAGGAATTTTAAGTGTCTGTCCCCTCCACAGGATGGCTTGTTAAATACTATGCAGGTCCAGCAAACTCCTCATTTAGTTCATTAGATGAGACAGCTAAGGTAAGATCAAGAAATTCAGGCCCTCCCTGGTGGCGCAACGATAAGGACGCAGCACTGCCAGCCAGCCACAGCTGCTCTGGTGCAAGTTCGATCCCTGGCTCTGGAGGTGACCCACATGGCCCAGCAGACCACTCCTGTCTCGCCTGCTGCTCCCCTCAGCAGTGGATTTCATCAGTCTGCCTGTTCTGTTCCCCACACTGTCTTTGGTGAATCCTCTCACTGCCCCTGCACCTCTGGCTTGTACCCCATTTCTGTATGCATAGATAAATAAATGAATCTTAAAAAGAGAAAATTAAGTTAAAAAAAATCCAGAAATTCCTCAAACTTTTCACCATGAAGATGACCACTGAAAAATCAGGAGATGCTTTCTGTCCAGGCATCTTGGCTGTTGCTCTTGGCTGGGGGTCGTACCCAAAGCAAGCAGATGGTGGTCACAAAGAAGAAGAAAAGTGCCTGGAGTCAATCAATCCTAGGTTCCAAATTATGAAACGTGAACAAGGAATGCCAAGGCACAGGAGATTCTGAAGACAAGGCAAGGCAAAACGGCTCAACCCTGACAGAGCCCTGCCCGGCCAAAAGTGGGGTCCATACACCATGCAACAGTAATAAACTGAACACAGTGCGTAGAAAGTACAGCCTATCGCCAGTCAAGGGATTCAGTTACCACTAGAAGCAGGCCAGGACAGTGGCAAAAAGTAAATCATGCAGATTTTCCTTTAATAAAACTGGAAGCGGGTGTTGAAAAAGAATGAGTAACTAACTATTCAGGAGATGCAGCTGTGTGCACAGAGGAGGGGCGAAATAAAAGGAGCCATGAGAAAGATGTTTTCCAGCCAGCTGGAGTTACATTTTGTGGCCTAATATGTTGAGGCTACGGAGAAGAAAAAGTTAAACTTAGGAACTATCACCTGATTCTCAACTCTGGTTCCTCCTTTGGAGCACTGAATACTGAAAGTTACTGAAATGCTTATTTTCTCTTTTCTCATTTCTCCCGAGGAGGGTAAACTTAGTGACATGGCGCCAGAGGCGGGACCGTGACTCACCCCATACCAGGAACATCTCAGGCCAACAGGCCTTACTCTCCCCTGGAGTCCCAGCTAAGAAAGGCTAGAGGGGTGAGAAAGGCATATGAATTCTTAATTGGGGGCGCAAGATATAAGGAAATTGTACTGAGCAAAAAATAAATGTTGGGAGGAAAACAATACCTGTTTGGTACCTTAAGAACTTTAGAGACCAGAAGAAGAATGGGTACCTGTTGGTACTTTGTCCCTATAACTGAGGGCTGAAGGTCAGTTTTGCATAGTAAAGAAATGGAAAGCCCTCAGTAAGCCCTGGAGTAGGAAGAACGGAAATCTAATCCTAGTTTTAACATTTGCCTCCAAGTTGTTTTCCCTCCATTTAGGTTTTCCCTAACTCCATGACATAGGTTCCTCGTGCCAAAAAAAGTCAGTATGGTTTTTAAAGGGAAGTTCAGGAATACCTGACCAGGTCAGCACCTGTCTTAGGCTCATATTAAACTGGGCATTGACCTTCCCTGGTGGTGCAACAGGTGGAAAGTGCAGCACTGTGAAGCTGGATGCAGCTGCTTTGATGCAAGTTTGATTCCTGGCCAGGGAGGTGACCCACATGGCACAGCAGACCTCTCCTGTCTCCCCACTGCTCCCCTTAGCAGTGCTTTGTCAATCTGCCTGTCCTGGTCCCCACTCTGTCTGGTGAATCCTCTCACACTCACACACACTGCTCTCTCCCCTCACACTCTGGCCTATATCCAGGTTCTAGTATGCATAAATACATTTTTTAAAACTTAAAAAATAATACTATCGGTTAACTCCCTGGTATAGAAAGTGTCTTATTAAAAACTACTCATATTTTAAGTATAACTAGACTTAACCAAGCTGTAAGTCAAGAAAAGAATTATCTTTGTCGTTTCCAAAAGAGCAAAATTCTCTTTTATCTGATGACCTGAGTGTGTACATGTATGAGGGCTGAAAGAGGGGAAAGCCTGAAGTTCAACCGCCCAGGAAGAAGGCTGGGCCTTGAAGTCCTACAACCACACAGAGAGAGGGTAAGGATCATCCTGCACACCTCCAGCCGCCAAAACTCTTACAGAGCTAGCATTTCATTTCCAAAGTACGAATTTCTGAAGTCCAAACGAGGAGAGGAGCCATAAAGACAGGAAAACTACGACACAATCCATGCTGAATCCACCAGGTCCGCCAAAACTGCAACGGAGCACTGACGCCTCATCAAGACAGACCTAGAGAATGGGGCCCACCAGGGAAAGGAGTAAAAACAAAACAGGTGTTTGAAGGAAAAGTAACAGGGAGCCACCATCAGGGAGTCAAACTCTGACACCATCAGCAGGGCCCCCACTCCATCCTTCCGACTTGGGGCAAGTCAGGAGGTCTGGGGACCCTCAGGACAGCATCGCAGCCCTCAGAATCAGGGGGCGCCCAGGGGCCCCAACCAGTGCGCACACGGGCAGCACGTCGCGAGGCCTCCGGGGCTCCCTCCAACTTTTCCAGCTCGACCCTCTGCCGCGGAGCTGCCTACGCTAAACCCAGGCTCGTGCTACTGCACCAGGCCACACACTAACCCGGGGGCCGCCGGGATCTTCAGTCCCCGAGGGCCACCCCGAGCTCCCCTGCCTCCCCACTCCCGCTCAGGCTGCACCCCGACTCCCGATCCCTTTGGACCCCGCGGCAGCTCAGTTGCCCCTCCGGCTCCTACCAAAATCAGCGCCTCCATCTTGCCCCGCAGCTGCTGCCGACGTGGAGCCGCAAAAGCAACGCCGCCACTGATTGGCCCTACGTCCTCACTCGTGCCCGCCCAGGGTGGGGATTATTGGACCATCGGGTGTCAGCATTTGCTCTACTAGCCAATCAGTGCACTACACTGCAAAGCGGAAGCTCAGCGACCAATCAGCAGACGGAACCTTTTGATTGTCAGTTAAAACATTCAATAAAACGACAAGACCTCACGAAGGCATGGGGCGGGAGGGTCAGTAAGGCGGGGTTGTTTCCATAGGGAACAGAGGAAGCGATTATTAATTTTCGATTGGCTGCGCGGCAGGCACGTGATCTCGTCGCCTCATTTAGCGACTTTGATCCGCACTCCCTGTAGGGGGCGCTATGCCGCCTTCACCTTTCACGGTGACAGTCCCCCGCGGGCGTCCTAGCGCAGCCGGTTTCCGACAGTTCCCGTTAGGCCCCTGGAATACCGCGTTTGCGCCGGCAGACGCTGCTCGCCCGCGTAGACTCGCGGGCGTCGTTTCCGCCCCTCGCAGAAAGCCTGCGAAGCGGTGGCGTCGAGCCCGTTAGCTAGATACACAGACGCATAACGGGTACCTGGACACCCCAAAACTGCCAGAAAGGGCTTGTACGGCACAACTTGGCCAACGTGGATTCCAGGCTTTGCTTGGGCCCAGGGGAGGACAAGAAGCCAGCGAGCTTGCGAAAGCCCGTTCTCTTTGACCTGACGCGAAACGGGACGTTAGAGCGCCGGAGCCCAACGGGGAGCCGAGGAGGGGAAAGGGAATAGAGGGGCGGGAGAAGGAAGGATATAGGGAACAGAGTCTGTGGCTTTCCAGAGGGACAAGCCGTTGCAAAATGAAAAGAGAAGCAAGAATTTCACAATAGGGAGGGGTCTGGGTGAGGTTTAACTTGCCTCGGCCCCCTTACTTCTTGGTTCCTGACTTCCCAGCCCCCACCGTAACCTCCGCTAACTTAGGCCAGGACACCTTCTGATGTCTTCTGTTACCCCCAAAGCATTTTTTTTTTTTTTTTACCCCTTGTGTCATTAGACCCAATTGTGTCTGAGAAGAGCATCCAGACCTATCCAGGAATATTTCTAACAATTTCACAGTAGAGTCAGAGGGCCTGACGGAAAAGTATAAACAATACAAAGCAAACCATAGAACTGTGCTGTGAAGGAAGGTATATGATTTTCTGGTGAAGTCCCAGATAACCAGTCTCTTTTATTATGAATGGGGAGCTATTCACACATAAAGCTTCGTGGGTGATATCATAAAGTTTCCCTTGATTTGATAGATTGACAATAATGTATTTATTGACTATTATGTGCCAGGGATATCTTTGAATACATTATTTAATATATTTTTTAAAGATTTATTTATTCATACAGAACTGGGATACAGGCCAGAGATGCGGAGGGTGAGAGGCTTCACCAGAGAGAGTGGGGAGCAGAACAGGCAGATCGACGAAGTACACTGCTGAGGGGAGCAGCGGGCGGGTCAGGAGAGGTCTGCTGCGCCCTGTGGTCACCTCCGGGGCAGGCGGGGATCGAACTCATGCACAGCTTCTCTGTGCTGTGCTTTAACCCACCGCGCCACCAGGGAGGGCCCAGAATACATTATTTAATATTTTTAATGAACCTTATGCAGTCATGATCTTTAGTCTCATTTTACAGTGGAGCTCAAAAGAGCTAAATTGTATATTTAAGGCCACATAAAGTGGCATACATTTGAGCGTTGGCATTCTACTGCTAGAAATTTGTTCTTCCCCACATGCCACCTTCTGTGGGCAGAGGCTTCTGGGACAGCCTTTCTTGCACCCCAGTCCTACCTGAAGTAACCCCCACACCACATATTCCATGGGGCCCTTGGGGAGAGAAAACTTGTGATGTGATTGGCTCATGGAACTCATGGGGGAGTCCTTACTCCTGTCTCTCTGATTTTGGACTAACTGACACATTTTAGCAGTCGGACATTGTTCCAGAAGATGACGCTTCTTAGTTCTCCAGCCTCTAGGGAAACTGAGCTGTGGAGGAGAACAACTGACTAGGGAGAGATACTAGTTCTTGTTGTGACTTTGTCTCATTAAGTGGGAGACTTCTGGGAAGAAGTCGGTCTCCTCTAGACCGAAGCTGTCACTTCTGGAAAATGAGGAAGATCCGACCAGAACTTTGTAGGTCCCTACCTAGCACTAAAATTCCTGCTTCTTTGGCTTCCAATCTCTCCTTCATTTGGAAAATCTTTAAGAAAACAATCAGGCCCTCCCTGGTGGCGCAGCGGGTTAAAGCACAGCACTAAGAAGCTTAAGACACTTCCGCATGAGTTCGATTCCCGCTTGCCCCAGAGGTGACCACATGGCGTGGCAGACCTCTCCTGACCCGCCCACTGCTCCCCTCAGCAGTGTACTTCGTCGATCTGCCTGTTCTGCTCCCCACTGTCTCTGGTGAAGCCTCTCACCCTCCGCATCTCTGGCCTGTACCCCAGTTCTATATGAATGAATAAATAAATCTTTAAAAAAAAAAAACGATCAAATAGAAAATGCATATGTTCTCTCTCTCCGTGTACAAATAAATATTTTTTAAATAAATCATTAAAAAAACGAATAAAAATGTGAATCTCAAAATGGGGGCAAAGTTATCAGGATTAAATGAGCTAATATGTGTAAAATATGTGTAAATTAGCTTATAAATAATTGGATATTATTGAGCACTTCTGAGCAATGAGGTTAAGGAAACATCTTAGTTAAAGCAAAATTCATATAAGAAGTAAGCATTTCATTCTCTGGCCTGTAGCCCAGCTCTGTATGCATAAATAAATAAATTTTTTAAAAGTAACCATTTCATTTTAATTTTGTTAAAAATAACTAACTTTAAGTGTACTACCCACTGGCATTAAGTACATTCACAATGTCATGCAACCACCACCTCTATGTAGTTCCAAAACATTTTTGACACCTCCTAAGGTGGTGTCAACCTGGGACCCATAAAATAATCACTCCTAATTTCCCTCCCCCTTCATGGCAACCACCAATTTACTTTCTGTCTGTCACTATGGATATTTCAAATAAATGTAATTGTACAATATGTGACTTTTGTATCTGGTTCCTGTCATTTAGTATAGTTTCTTCAAGGTGTGTTCATTTTCAGCAGGTATCAATAGATCATTTCTTTTCATGACTGTATAATTTTCTACTTCTCAATATACTCTGTTTTGTTTATCCATGCATCAGCGGATGGCTATTTGGATATTTCCCACCTTCTTCTGCTATAACAGAGTGTTGTGCACATTTGTTAATGCATATTCAGTTGAGTGCAGATTCCCCTGATACCCTGAAGTATTTTTAGTGTTCCCAACTCCAAAAGTAACCTACCAAAATAGGAATAATCTACTTTAAGGTAATAGGGAGAAATTATTCCCACTTTCAGTTATTTTGGATATTCACTTAGGAGTGGGATTGCTAGGTCATTAGATAATTCATTAGCTCTTTAAATTTATTTTTAATTTTTTAAGATTGGTTCATGTATGCATATGAGAACTGGGGTACAGGCCAGAGGTGTGGGGGTGAGAGGATTCATCAGAGACAGAGAGGGGAGCAGAACAAATAGATCTACCGAAATATTGGAATACACTGCAGAGGGGAGCAGCAGGTGAGACAGGAGGGGTCTGCCATTCCATGTGGGTCACTCTCTGGCTGGGGATCGAACTCAGGCTGCAATGGACAGCTTCATAGTCACTTGCGCCACCAGGGAGGCCCCTAATTAGTTAACTTTTGAGGAACCATGAACTCTTTTCCACAGCAGCTGTACCATTTTACATTCCCAACAGCAAGGCATAAAGGCTCTCATTTCTTCCTCTCGCCTACACTTTGTCTCTTTTTGTGGTCATCCAAGTTAGTGTGAAGTGGTGTTTCAGTGTGGTTTTGATTTGAGTTTCCCCAATGGCAAATGATTTAAGCATCTTTTCATGTGCTTGTTTGCTTGTTTGCTTGTTAGCCATTTGTGTATCATCTTTGGGGAAATTTCTAGTTGTATTATATACCCATTTTTAATTGGATTGTTGGTCTTTCAGTTCTTGCACGCTAAAAGTTCTTTACATATTCTGGATAGATATAAGTTGCAAGTTCGTCTCCTCTATTTCCCATACCTCTTTTCTGTAGGTGAAGTGGGGGAGGGAATAAGATGATTAATTTGATGGCTGTGTGCATAGGAATGACTGGAGGAGAGCCGAGAGGAAGAAAGATCAATGAGGAAGCTGTTGCAGGTCTTCAAGTTGCAGTGAACTCAAGCCAGTGATGGTAGGAAGAGGCTGCCAAAAGACGGTGGACAAGTGAAATTTGGAAAACTCTAAATGTAAAGGATGAGATCAACTACCTGTAGAAGGAGTGAATGACCTAGTGTAGTTTCAGGAAAGCGCAATTCTGTCAATATATCTAAAACTCTAGCTGTCTAATCACTTAAATTAAAATGACTGGAGCCCTCACACAATCAAAGTCAAACTTAATCAGTTATAATAAAATGACTGAAGTGAACATAAACAGAATCAATTCTATTAACTTGACTGGAGCTGAAGCCCAATCAACTGAATTGTACATAGACAGGGGAGACAATCTGCATAGAATTTCCCCAAACAAACAAACAAAAAAATATGGCGCTTCCCTGGTGACTCAAGGGGTTAAGTCTTGACTCTGTCAAGCTACTGCCAGTCTGCAGCACAAGTTTGATCCCTGGCCAGGGAGCTGACCCACATGGTGCAGCAGACCTCTCCTGTCCTGCCCGCTGCTCCCCTCGGCAGTGTATCTCAGTCAGTTCTCCTCCCCACTCTGTTTCTGGGGAATCTCACCCCCCACCTCTGACCTACCTACACCCCAGTTCTTGTGTGCAAAAATAAATAAATCTTTTTTTTTAAATAAATAAATCTTAAAAAAAAAGTCTTCACCTTTCCCCAGTGACATTTCGGAAAGAAGATACCCTTTTAGCCAAGACAAATGCATATCTCACACTGACACAGAAGACAGATGCGGCTCTGTTAGTTACAACCAATTCCACTTGC